AGAATTTTATTATACAGACATAATCACCATTAACATCTTATTGTATTTTCTTTTTTTCATCCTATTTTTTTTTTTTTTCCGACAAAGTCTCATTCTGTAGCCTGGACTGGCCTAGAACTCACTACAGTCCTCCTGCCTCAGCTTCCTGAGTGATGTTATTACAGATGTGAGCCACTATGTTCTGATTGCATTTTCTTAAAATAGGTACTTATCACTACAGCAATATAGACTCACTTCTCACACATTCAGAAATACTCATTACATATAAATGTGCATTAATGTTTTATTATAGAAAATAGAAAATATAAACCAAAATTGACAGACTACATAATGAAGTCCTGTACTTATTAGCCTGTGGCTAGGCCATCAGTACCTCTATATGCCCATTTTTATTTGTTACTTTACTTTTTGTGGTGCTGGGGATCAAACCCAGGGCCTCAATCATTAGCATTCTATTGCTGACCTACATCCATATTCCTGTCATATTATTTTGAAGCAAGTTCCAGATATTGTATCATTTCATTCATAAATAGTTCACTATAGATCTTTAAAAGATAAAGACTTAAAAATATAATCATGATTGCATTTAAATTAATAATTCTTTAAAGTATGAAATATTCAGCGTTCCAGTTTTCAGTTGTCTCAGTAACATTTGAACTTGTTTTTATTGTTTGATTACTTGAAGTAGGATACAAGTAAGGCTCACACATTCAGATTGGTTGATATGTCTCTTTGGTTTTATTTTGTTTTTAGGTGGATGATGGAGATGAAATCTAGGGCCTTCCACATGTTAGGCAAGTGCACACACAAGTGCTTGCTTATGCACACACACACACACACACACACACACACACACACACACACACTAAAGCACTGGAAATGCAGCTGGGCATGGTGGTGGTGGTGTACACCTTTGATCCCAGCACTTAGGAGGCAAAAGCGGGAGGATCTCTGTGAGTTCAAGGCTGGGCTGGTCTACATAGTGAGTTCCAGGACAGCTGGGGCTACAGGGACCCTGTCTCAAAAAGACCAAAAAAGGAAAAAAGACAAAAAAAAAGAACTGGAAATGACCCCAAAGACTGGCAAGTACACAATGGAGCTCCCTGAAGCTGTAAGATGGTATTGGGGATCCCTAGATACACATATTATAGAGTTTTTTCTAGGATATGTTATAAGTAAAACAACAAGAGGGTGCCAGTCGTGGTGGCAACATCTGTAGCCATTCAGGAAAGTGGGGCAGGAAAATTATTTTGAAGCCAGGAATTGGAAACCATTTAAACAACATAATGAAACTGTGTCTCAGACAAATAACAGCATTAATTTGATGATACACTCCCAAATTGGATTTATGCTAAGGGCAAAAAGAACTGCAAAAACAGTTTTTAATAATATTTGGTAATCATAATGTTGGTGGAAGTTGTCAATATTGCTATTCTGGGGACTGGAGGGATGACTCAGTGGTCAAGAGCACTGACTGCTCTTACAGAAGACTTGGGTTTGAATCCCAACACCCACATGGTAGCTAACAACCATCTGAAATCCAGTTCCAGGGGATCTGTAACCCTCTTCTATCCTCCGCAGGCATTGCATGACATGGGTACACTTACATACATGCAGGCATAACACTCATACAAATAAAAAAATGCATCAAAAATATTGCTATTCTGGATAATGTGAGATAAAAACCGAGTGGGCTCTATGTCTCAGTGGTTGGAGATAAATATTTGAATTCTATCATGCTTGATTGTCCTTGAGACTCTGGATTCTTACTATGAGGGGAAGATAATATAGCTATAAGAGGTAGTAAAACTGCAATCCTGGATGCTACTGAGACAAACTTCTGGTGTATTGGTCTCTATATAGATCTAGTTCCAAGTTCCTCTGTCCACTGAAAAGACTCAGAAACTAAACCAGTAGCAGTGATCACCTCTGGCATCTATACTGTGATCTATCTGGGTGGAAAAATTGTCTTCACACATGTTCTTAAATATACGTTATAGCTGGGTGTGGTGGTGCACGCCTGTAGTCCCAGCACTTGGGAGGCAGAGACAGGCAGATCTCTGTGAATTCAAGGCCAGCCTGGTCTACATAGTGAGTTTCAGGACAGCTGGGGCTACAGGGAGACCCTGTTTCAAAAAGAGTTAGATGACTTCTGATTCCTTTGCATGTGTGTGATGCATGTGTGTGTATGTATCCATGTGTGAGAACATATGTGTGCAGCTGCATGTGCACGTGTATGTGGAGGCCAGAGGTTGATGTCAGGTGTCTTCCTCAATGCCTCATCATCTTAATTTTTAAATTTATGTGTGTCTGTGTGTATGTGCATGTGTGTGCAGGTGCCTGTAGAGACCAGAAGAGGGTATCAGATCCCCTGGAATTGGTGTTACTGCCAGCCCATGTGTGTGCTGAGAACTGAACTCTAGTCTTCTACAAGAGCTGCAAGTACTCTTAACTGCTGGACCATCTCTCTGGCCTTCTACTTTATATTTTTATGACAGGATCTATGAGTAAATCTGGAGCTCTCTGTTTCAGCTAGAGATTCTGATTCTGGTCAGTCCCAGGGATCCTCCTGTCTCCAGCTCCCCAAGTATGGTGATTACAGGGTGCATCACTGTATTAGGCTTTTCACATGGGTCTTGAGGATTCAAACTCAGGTCTTCATGTTCACATGGGAAGTAATTTACCAACCAAGGCATCTTTCAAAATCCAGTTTCTAATTCTTTAAAGTCATATATAGTACTGCCTCAAATTATTATTATTATTATTATTATTATTATTATTATTATGACATTCCAGGCTGGTCTTGAACTCACTGGATAGCTAGTGATGACCGTGAACTTCTGATCTTCCTGCCTTCACCTCACCAGTGCTGAGATTACAGGTGTGTGCTACCAGGCCTGGTTTATGCAGTTGGTGACTGAATCCAGGACTTCATGCATGTGAGACAAGCGGTCTACTAAGTGAGCTACATCCCTAGACCTATGCATGGGGCTTAGTATAAATTTCTTCAAGTAAAATTAACTGACTAAAGGGAAGGAACATTCTTAAGCTTTTGATTAATATTGTCAAATCACATTCAGAAAGGTCATGCCAGGTTACATGACAAGTGGTGGGTGGGAGAGAGGCACCGACTCACTGCGTTCATAGTGAGGTACGTTTTAGACTTGTACGCTGATGTGTCTCTGCTAGTCTGACATATCAGCTACAACTGCCCTGGATTTCTTTGTCCCCCCCCCTTTCATTTTCTTGTGGAGGAACCTTAACAAAGTTCTAAATACTCTATGGAAAAATCTCCATTGATAGAGCATTCTCCTGTTTACATTGTGTCCTGAATACATATCACCAAAGATTAGCATGCCCTTATCAAATGTAATATATTACTTATAATTAATGTTTCAAGTGATGAATACCTCACTTGTATACATAGTTATCATGAAGGTACGAAAATACTATTTTTTATAACTTTTTGGTAATATGGGTAGCTACCTTTGAAATTTCTGGGATTTTTTTATTCTAACCTTTCCTTTACAGACTCATTGTATGTGAAATGTTTCTCCCAAACATAGTTTAGGAGGTTAACTAGCTCTGCAAGCATCGCTTTATATCTACTTTATATCTGTTTCCCTATGAGGATTATGAAAGCCCAGAAAAGTAGCTGCCAGACAGAATCTCCCTTGGAGTAGAGAGATCTTCAAGTTCATCTGGCCTCACCCCTCCATTTTATACTTGGGAAAACTAAGGCAAAGGGCAGTTATGTAACTTTATTAAAGTCATACAGCTACTTGGAGACAAAAACCCAAGTGTGATTCAGCACGGTGTCCTTTCTACGCAGCTTCTCAGAATGTGCAAAACTCAAAGAGAATCTGTGTTAGGGAAGCAGAAATCGGGGTGTCCTCTTTCAGAATTCTAGGATGTCACTTTTTCAGTCAACATTTAGAGAAAATGGACCAATAACTACAGCAGAAACCAAAGTGAAAGAACACTTCTGTTATTTGGGAAACAAGAAATAAAGAATGGAGCCTCTAATGCTAGGGATTTACAGGAATCCAAGTATGCAGCCTCTGAGGGCCTCATGTTTGTTCCTGTGGCTGTGGTCCATACTCTCCTTCATTATGTTCTAACTGTAATCTCCAGCACAAAGAGGTTCTGTACCTTGCCCCAGGAAGTCTCTAAGCATCATGGCAAGGATTTGAACCTGGGTTCTCACAGAAGCACAGTGTTGCTGTGATTGTCTGGCTCATCCCCATTCTTTCCCTAAAGGATCAGAGTTGCTTAAAAATCTATTCATTGGGGCTGGGAAGATGGCTCAGTGTGTAAAGTGCTTGCCACACAATTGTCTGGACCTGAGTTGGAATTCTCAGAACCTGTATAAAAGCTGGATGTGGTAAGGCACATCTATGCCCCAGTATTTCTATGGTAAGATGAGAGGTGAAGACAGGAGGGTCCTCAGAAGTGTGCCAGCAAAGGCAGAGGTAAACCGTAAGCGACACTCCCTCATCGAGGTAGAAGAGTGAGACCTGGGGGTTGCCCTCTGACCTCCACCTGTGAGCCTTGGCACGTGTACCCATACACACACTCATACACATGAAGATTGAAAAGATCCGTTTGTTAGAGTACCATGATATGACTTCTTAGAGCACAAATTTTAGAACTAGTTCTAAGCCTCTCATCCATTTGCAGTGTAGATGATTATTTCATCCCACATTGTAACATGGGCCTGATAATATCTACCTCAAAGGGTGTTGGTGTCACAAATAAAGAAGAGAATTGTCTGCATTGTTGGTAGAGTATCTGACACCTGCCAAATTGCCATAGCTAACTGTGCCTGCAATGGCCATTGTTACCATGTCAGGCTTATTAGTGTCCGTATCACCCACGTCTCCATTAGTGTTTCTTTTTCTCCATATTGACCTCTTTTTTTTTTTTTAATGCGAAACTCCTGCAAGGGTGACACATTTCCCCAAAGGCTGGTGATTCATCAGTTGTTTTTCTCCGAACAGGAGTGAGCTGAGTTGTATTAAAGCCCAAGAAAGGAGCGAGAGATAGACAAGAGAGGTGGGAAGACCCCAAAGATGATTAGAGCCTGCTTTCCCCAAACTCGTCAGGGTAAGTTTATAGAACAGCTTTTTGAAGTCGGGTGTGCTCGTCTATGGCCCTGTGATCTTCATTGAGATTCTAGAGGGTCTAATAGAGAATGAGAAAGCCCACTCTTGGTGGGCTGTGTGTCCTTCCCAAGGACTCCCAAGCCATGTGACCACCTGCTTATCCACACTGCAGTCGTACAAGTGAGCAGCAACCTTCCACAAGCTCTTCTGTTTACTGTGCCTGGAAACAGGCCTCTTGCCATGGAAAAGTACCTTGTGCTCTTAAGTACAAGTTCAGGACACATATTACGCAACACGAAAGGTCTTATTAAAGCTTCTTGTGGGGCTGGGATGTAACTCAGTAGTAGAGCATTTACCGAGCAGGTACAAGACCTTTGGTTCATTTCACAGAACTAGCTCTCCTTTGCTTTCCCCCCACTCTACATACTCTTTCATCTTTCATCGTTGTGAAAAGGTCATAGCACAGGGTACTACATAAAACGGTGCTAAGGAGGAGCCAGCAAAAGTCACATCTCACCCTCACCCAGCTCCCCAGCACCCCTCCATTTGTCCACCCAGTCAGAAAACAGCCTGGACTGTCCCTCCCTCAGCCACCATTCTGGGTTCTTTGGGTGAAGAGCAAACAGCAATCAGATCTCTGCCTTCTAGTGTGAGTTGGTGACCATGGACAAGGGATGTGAGCAGATGACCATAGGTAAATGTTGAATGCTACAGATAGAAACAAGGAAAGGCAGGTGATAGTGGAGCAAAGTACTGAAGGAGGAAAAAGAAAGAGCTGTCATGGTCAAAGAGTATTCCAGACAGAGGAAAACCTGTTCTCCATGGTATGGGGACAGGGCTTAAATTTTCATTTATCGTTTTAGAAAACACTGATTAAGTACTTATCAGGGCCAAGCACTCTTCTGAGTGCTTTACATATATGCTAATTCTCCTAGTATTTATTATTATTTTTTAATGTATACGAGTGTATTTCCTGCATGCATATAACTGTACCCCTATTGTGCAATGCCCGCAGAGGTCAGAAGAGGATGTTGAATCCCCTGGAACTAGAGTTATGGGCAGTTAGTTGCCATGTGAGCACTGGGAATCGAACCCAGGTCTTCTGCAAGAGCAGTCAGTGCTCTTAACTTCTGAGTCATCTCTCCAGCTCTGCTCTCTCCTAATCTTTACAACAAGTCCAGACAGTCTCATCATCCTTCCTGTAAAGGGAAAGTGAATCACAGAACAAGAGAAGTTTCCAGAGGTTGTAAAGCTGGAGAATCGTGAAACCCTAGGTTTTAGCTTGTCTTCTGGCTCTGGAGCCTGATGCTCAGCAGCTATCCGCTGCTCTTCCACAGTAGGGCAAGGGGTTGCAGATACATGAGGCCAATTCTGAGGGTGCAGTGGAGCCACAGCAGAGTCTTAAACAGGGGAGCAACAACCACCTTCGTTCAGAAAATCCTGCCCCGTCCCACACGTGGGTGTTCATGCCTCTCTGTGTACATGTGCCCTTTAGGTTTGTCCCTGCTTGGTGTGCTTGATGCTAAACTTTGAAACAGTTCACATTTATGGGAATGATAGGAAGGTTTGCTATGAAGTATGCTCCAGTTAAAGATGATATCTTATCAAATAATGTTTTGTTCATGAGTAATCACTTCTATTTTTAAAGTCTTACAAATACTTGTCTATGACCGGTCTCTGGCAGTACTTGGATACGTGCTCGTACTCCCTGTGAACAACAAGTCAACTTTTTTGTAGAAAAATTCATCGGTTTTTAGCATATTCACAACGTTATGCAACCATCGCCACTATCTAGTTCAAGAACATTTCCACCACTCTAGAAAGATGCCCAAGAGCTGTTAGCAGCCATTCTCAACCTCAGTCAACCACATTAGTTAAAGTATCTCTTATGGTTGGCTTCAGTTCTCAACTGGACACACCTGGGAAGAGGAACCTCAATTGTAGAATTTCCTTAGTTGGATTGGTGTGTGGCCGTGTCTGTGGGTCATCCTCTCAATTGTGATGTTAGAGTGCCCAGCCTACTGCGGGTGGTGCCAACTCTGGGCAGGTGGTCCTGGGTTATATAAGAAAATAGGCTGAGCACAGGCCAAGGGAGCAGGCCAGTAAGCAGTGTTCCTCCTGGTTTGCGCTTCAGTCCCTACATCCAGTTCCTGCCCTGAGTTTCTGCCTGACTTCCCTGAAAGACAGACTGCCACTAGGAAGTGTAAGATGAAATAAACCTTTTCCTCCCCAAGTTGGTTTTGATCATAGTGTTTTAACATAGCAATAGAAAGCTAACTGGGATAGCATCTTACCCATGGATCCCAATTCTGTCTCTGTGGATTTTCATACTCTGAAAATTTCATGCAAGTGGAGTCCTACAGTCTTGCCTTTGTGACTCGCTTCTTTCACTTAGCACACTTTTCAGTATCCACCCATGATCCATCAGTTCTTCATTCCTTTTTATGGCTTGATACTATTCCACAGTGTGAATCTACCACATTTTGTTTATCCACTTGTCAGTTGATTTGTTTTGACTTCCTGTCTATTATGAATAATAGTGCAGTATACCTTTGTATGTATGTATATATTTGTGTTAACATGTTTTACATTTCTCTTGAGTATATACTTAGTGAAATTTCTTGGAATTTTAACTTTTTTTTTTTTTGTTTATTTTTTTGTGACATTTTTTTTATTTTTTTTGATGTAATATTTTGTGAAATTTTTTTGGATTTTTACTTTTTTTTTAACTTTTTTTTTTTTTTTTTTTGAGGTGGAATCTCATGTAGCCCAGGCTGTCCCTGAAGTTGATATGTAGCCAAAGTTGGCTTTGAATTCCTGGTCCTCCTTCCTCTACCTCTCAAGTGCTTGGATTCCAGGTATTAGCTTAACAAGTCAACTTTTGATCACAACGTGTTACTTAGCACCTGACTATTTGGAAGAGGGGAAATACAGGAGCAGGTGGTTTCTTAGCAAATGTTCAATTATGTCCTGTTTATACGAGGTGATAAGTAGTGGTACCTCATTCTTAGAGCTTCATGAGTCAGTACCCTGAAGGTTGTTGGAAATCATAGTATATATTCACCACACAGACCCCTATGAAGCCGTTTTTTTTTACATTTCTTTCCATATAACAGATGGCTGTAACCATAAGGTATTTGTCCCTAAGGTAACTGGGGGCTTGAAGTTAAACAACCACCCTTTCCAGGGATTTCCTAGAGTATCATGGACAATCTACAGAAGCTTTGAGATGATTAGAGAGGCCCCTGAGACTCATATTAATGTCAGTTTGTACATTCTCTGAATACTTAGCACAAAGCTGAATGCCTTACAGCTTCTCCCCAGACAACTCTTCCCTAGTCTCTATTGACTATCAAGTGTTTGAAGTGTGGTATGTCTGAATGGAGAGATGCTAGGAAGGGTTGGGGATGTGGCTCAGTTGGTAAGGTGCTTGTCTAGCATGCACAAAGCCCAGGGTTCAAACTCCAGCACTGTATTAAACCAGACACGGTTGTGCATGCCTGTGATCCCAGCCCTTGGAAAGTGGAGGCAGAAAGGTCAAGAGTTCAGGGTCATCCTCAGCTACATAATAAGTTTGAGCCCAGCTTGTGCTACATAAGATCCTGTCTCAAACAAAAAGAATAACACTATGTATATAAATATACATTGACTTCAAGACTCAGGATGTAAAATATCTTGGTATTTTGTACATGTTGAATTACTCTATACCTATTAAGTAAACTATGGTATCAAAATTCATTTCACCTGTTTTAACTTTTCTTAACTGGCTACTTGAAAATTTTACATCACACATGTGGCTCCCATTGTGGTTTGTGTTCTATTTGTATAGGGCAGCCCTTCTTCTAGATTATTCCTCACAGTAATTTGATCAGCTGGACGGTATTATCATCCCTACATTATCGGTGAGGAAATTGAGGCTTAGAGAGCTTAAGTAAATTGCCTGTGATCGCACAGCTGTGGCTTAAACAAAAAATCTGTCTTCAAGCCTCAATTCTTACCCATTATTCTATACCCCCTCCCCCAGTCCAGAAATACAATCCATGTCACACAGAAGCCTTTATGGACATTAGCTATAGCAAAAAAGCTGTTTCCATATCTCTATTGGAGAACACAGGAAAAACAAGGGAGAGTTGAGGAATCATTGGGGGAAATTACAGGGAAGTTTCTTAAATATGAAGTCTTTGTAAGGTTTAGGGTCACCCACCCAGGAGAGGACGCCAATGGAACTGCTTTTGAGTTTCATTTTATGTCCCAGATTGTGTGTCTCCATTGCTGTCAAGTGCACAGGCTGGCCTCTGCCATGATGCTCCCAGTGACGTGAGAAGTGAAATAGATTCTGCTCCAACCACCCCACCCCCACGCCATCCCAGGAAAGTATAAGGTTTTTATTTCATCTCATTTCACTTGAATTTGTGAACATCAGCAGGACAGTCTTCACAATAATCCTGCCCTCTTCTCACACGCAGTAGACAGAGAGGGAGACTGGAAGGGAGAACCACTTTGTCCCCCTCTCCCCACTCCCTTCAACCAGTTTCTAGAGTACAGGTTTAGTCTCAGCCAAGCCTTCCTCTTCCCAAGGGCATCCTTGTCAGTGTTCATGCATGAAGTCTCACACGTGCACCATTAATGCTAGCTGTTGCTATTCTTTAAATTCTCTGACTTCATCGTATTCTCATTTAACATATACTTGCATATAACAGGCATCATGAGTATCATTTACTAATTTAATTTCAAATTCCAAAGATGAAACTGGTCCTTTCAACTATTTTTTTTTTTCCAAGTTCAGAAAGGAAGGGGATAACAAGGATAATTGGGAGTTAGACTTGATCACTGAGCCTCATTCCCAAGTTGTATACTTAGGGGCTAGAAGCATTACTGGGAGGGAGGGAGGGAGGAAGGAAGGAAGGAAGGAAGG